CCTCTCAATTTTAGATTATTCTTCATTCCTATGTTAGTTATTCTGTCCATTCCGGTTGTAACATAGTTAGACGTTTAAGTTTCGCGCAGAATTTCTATCGCATAGCTTGAAACCATCAGTTGTTCATCTCTCTTGTCGATTCATCGAAATCAAGACTCGATCTCCTCTTAGTATTACGTTCCGATTGAAAGCTGAGCTTCGTGTACGTGTGTGTCGCGACGGCCGTCGAGCATAGTTCGATGCGTGAAACGGTGAAACGTAAACGTGGCGAGAACGTGTTCGAAATTTTAGAGAAGTAGAGATAACGAGACAAGAAATCGAAATCAACCGGTCCAGATTTGGGCTCGCTTTCGCGTAATGCTACCTATTACATAATCTAAGTCTATATGTATTGTGTATAATGGATTAAGGACTTGATATAACATAGAAGACTCTCCTGTAAATAGTTGAACTCGTCGAGGCATTAGGGATTTGCGAAGATTGCGTAAATTTTCTGCGGATGAATGAGTTTATTCGGTAGCGTGGTACTCGACGCGGTGTGGTATATAAGAATATATACGTAAACGGAGAAAAAAAGGGAAAGGTATATATATATATTATTATATATACACACAAAGTCACGGACAGACACCGTACACACACCACAGGAACGAAATGCGTAGCGCGTATCCCGGCTGCATTTAATTTTTACTTTTGAGAAATCTCGAATTACCCCGAGGAACGAAGCCGACGAACGTCGATTGTTCACGAGCCGGCAGCTCGATCAGAGCCAGAAGACACTTTCTCGTTTTTCCTTTGAATCGAGAACACGATGATCGCGCGAACGAAACGGAGAACGGAATCGATCGATCCGAGAGTAATGACGAAGGATCGATCGATTCTACGCGAAACAAATAAGAAAAAAAAAGAAAAGAAGAAAACACACAGCAGACACACGTACATACGCACACATACACACAGAAAGAAACGATGGCAGAAAAAACAAAAGAAAATAGCACGAGAGACCGTACGTTTTTTCGTTTTCACGAACTTTTGTATAGTAGCCGCTGTTACCTTGCGAATATTCTATATTGTACATGTTTAAACGTTCCCCTGTTATGTTTGTTGTATATTTCGGATAAGTCTTGTAAAGAGAGATGTTTAAATTTTTCGTACGAGCGTGGCGAGTGGACGGGACTTGGCGCGTACTTCCGGTGTTTCGTCGATTTTTATCAGACTAGAAATTCGTGTTCCCTCGGCCGGATAATACTTCGCGGACGAAGACAGAGAATAAAAAAAAAATGAAACGATAAAGTGAACGAAAGGCGTAAAGGAAGAGGAGGAAAGCTTTCGCGGCGTACTATTTTCTATTCACCCTCTCGAGTCGACGATCAATTCATTTCGAGACGTTTGTCATATCAGAATCCTAGGGTTATCGGACTGAGAACAGTGGCGTTTAGATGTTTAAAGGAAGAACAAAAGGAAAAATGGATGAACGAAGAATTTTTCATTTCTCTCTCGGGAACAGGTATTTAGACACTCCGCGTTCCACGCGACGAACACAAAAAGAAAGAAATGGGGGAAAAAAAAGGGAAACACTTTCGAATTCGCCGTGGTTTTTAGGCACGCTGTTCGTTCGCGAGTCGTCGGAACGGCAACGCGAGGATCTATTTTTTCAGACAACGGTGAAATCTCATCGGAGACGCGTATCTCGGGACTGGTTTGAAATTGTTTTCGTTGCATTAGACATCGGATCGCGAGCGTATGATCGGATCCTTCAGTATTATCCAGTGCCGTACGAGAAAGAT